AGCAGGAATATTTCTCTGTGCTTTAGGGCTGAAAACAACCACCCAGACAGTGTCTGAGAGGAAATACATGGCGCAGGCTCAGCAAAACGCAGGACGCTGGCAATGCAGCGCCTTCACCAGCTCGGGCCATCCTGCCGCACAAACCAGGTTTCCCAACCGCTCCGAGGACCAAGGATTTGGGATGCTGAGCCAGGGTGAGGCTTGCTTTGCTCATCCTTACTGTCACCCATCTTGTTATACCATAGCCAGAGGGAATGTAGCTGTCACACCAAATCACAGATTTCTGTCTAAAAAAGCACTTCTGTGCTTAAAACCACCAGCTTTAAAACTCGCTTTAATGCTAGACTGTGCCCCGATTTTATATTTTGGGGGGTTTACAGTTTAATTTTCTTACTGAAAAATGGGTTTTGCTGCTGATGCTTTGTGAAAAAAAGACCCGCAAGCAGCAAGAGAACCCACCGCTCACCGCCTGACAAGAGATGCAGGAAATGCAATAACATACAAAAAGCTGTCCTGTGCACAAAATAAACCGAAACTTCAGAAAAATACGAGCTTCTGCTTCAGTTAAAGCAATCGAGGTAAATTTTAACAGGTAGCGAGCATTCAGACCTGTGTGTGGTCAACCGCAGCGGTGTCCTACCCCCCTCCCGCGCCGTGCACTAAACTTCTGCCAAGGTAATAGCCACACGGGGTGGGCTTGGTCTGGCATCTCACCTTCCCTTGACTATCTCTGTGGAAAAAAAAAAAAAAGCCTGCTGATGTCTAAAGGAAAAATATTTCCAAGCTGCATTTGAGCAGGATGCAATCGCCCACGCTTGGGTCTTTTGAAAGTGCCCGAGCTGGGGGATTCAGAAGCATCTCTTCACGGTGTACCAAGAGACGCTTAGGCGGCTCTGATAAAGGGTTATTAATTACCGAGTGAGACTGTGCTCACATAATACATCACATCTCTTTTGCTGGCAAATGAATCAACACTGACTCCGCAACGCCCGTGTGTTAATCGTGCGTAGCTGGAGTGGTGCGTTTTTCTTCCCCAACTGTGATGAAATTTAAATATTTGAGAAATACAAAATGATACACCAAGGGAAATCCCGTGCGTTCAGCCTAATTCCACTCTCAACCTGAGGAGCACCCCGTGTGACAAACGTGTACACTGAATTAGGGAGCGCAGCGAGGGGTCTCTGAATTAGGTGCTCTTGCCAAATTAAATATTTGTAAATATTTATAACTACTCCTGCATATGTTTAATGTCACTGCTTCCACTATTTATGAAAAGTGCACAAGTGTTCAACTGTACCTGTAGTTAGTGTTGCTGGTGCTCCTTTAGCATATATTAATATTAATAAATGTAAGAAGGAGAATGTAGAGCATTTCCAGGTATTTCTCAACGATCAGCTAGCCGTGAGGACTGGGCAGTGCAGTGCATTTTGCCATTGCCTTCCCCAATTGTCTTTAGTTCTTGAGCGTGTCTACCTAGAACGGGGACTGACACCTTATCAGTAAGCACACTGTCAACTTCCACTGCACAACGAAACCTCTTTTTAAGCAAAGCGGAGCTAAAACAGTTTCCTTTAGTCGTTACAACAGAAGCGGGAAGGTTTTGCTCCAAAATCTTCCAGCAATCTCAACCCAGCAGCCAGCCTGGGAAGCGCACGGTGCTCACAGTAAAGATCCCATTTACCAGAGAGAACGAGGATGTATTTCATGGACATACGCTGCATTGAGACTTGCATAACCACTCCTCAATTTGCTAGATGAGCATCAAGAATGCGAGCTGTTCTTGCATTCCGGTACCTTGCAGACACTACCTTATTCTTCCCCCAAAGACAGGCACCGCTCTCTGCCCACGTTCCTCTGCTTCTTCCTTCCTCTAAAACCATCATTTTCAAGGTGCTTCTGTCCTTGACTTCACACGCCACAGTAAAACTGATTAAAATCTGCAAAGCAGGAGAGGTTTTGAAGCTCAGACTATGGCTCCTAGGTTTTTATAATCTACATTTTGAATAGCTTACTGCACAATTAGCGGAAGGCAGCGTAAAACCATCTGTACCCACACAGTTGGCATACTTAATGCTGATAAATGTTTCCTGGGATCCAAAGTAGCTTACTGCCGTGGCCAACTCCTAACTTGTGTCTCAATCTATGCCTGAGATCACCTACTGAAGGTGCTCCAGCACGGTGGGAA